AGAACATCCTTGAAGCACAGAGTGGACTGGGGAGTGCTGCTGGTGGGATCTTCAGTGAGCTCCTGTAACCACTGCACCGAAGGCACAAACCTGCCCAGGCTCACACCCAGGACTTCTGGCCTGAGAGCAGCCTCCTTAGCAGGCACCATCTGCTTCAGGGCTTCACAGAGCTGCACTGAGCTGGCACAAAACTGAGAGAGGCCATGGAAAGAGCTTTACAGGGGATATAAACCTGCAGAGTCAGCAGTTCCTCTGCTGATGACTTCCCAGCATTTGCAGCCATTTGTACCTGTCCTCCCTCCTGCTGAGGTTGTTGAGCTTGGCACTATCTCTGTGCTACATACCAGGGGAATGCAGCTCAGAACTGGCTGTCCCAGCAAGTGCACTCATGGGCATGAGCCAAAGAGATCTGACAGGGGCAGGGTGCTTGTGGGCAGCTCTGTTGGGCAACAGCCCCACTGTACAGCAACACTGAGCACACAGCACAGGAGAGGAGTCCTGGATGGCTGTAAAGATCTTTGCCAGCAAAGCCAGGAAAGCCAGTTCCAAAAATGAACAAGATCATTTGATAGAACAGCCAGGAAGGGGCAGACTGGAGTCCAGGCAGACAGTGCAGTGGGCTCAGGGTGCTCAAAGCCCACCCAGCCCTTGCCTGAGTCACCTCAGGTTCAGCTTCACCCAGGGGATGAGATAACTGTTCTCATGCTACATCACCAAGCAGAGGAATGAAGGTTGCAGATAGCACTGATGTGACTCTGGATGACCCAAGAGTCTCTGCAAGCCTTATGGTGTTCTGCACATTTCTCTCTATCCACGAGCTCCAGCCTGAGTTATCTGAGACACTGGTTTCCTGTGCTCAACAAGGAAGATGTAAAATCAACAGAATTTGATCAGCTGCCAGGGATTTGACTAGGCTACAAAGACTTTGATATTTTACAGAAGCTCAGAATAAAAATCAGCTGCTGCTGTAGCCAAGTGTATGTTACTGTTTTTATTTAAAAAAAAAACCCAACCCTTTCAAGAACAAATAAAACCAAACAAAGACGTCTCATCCTCCTGTACTTTTGTTCCAAGGCACACTCAGACAGGTTGGCTCACTGGCTATCCATTTGCCATATGCTTTCAAGTTTATTCTTTCATTCACTCCCATATTTTAGCCCCTTCCAGTTCAGAAGACGAACAGCTGCACAGATGCTCTATAAATAAACTACATAATTTATTGGAAGAGGTTTTTTGTTTATTTTTTTAAGCTACCACATATTCCCCAGCTCTATCCTTTTCCATCCTCTCTACAAAACTGAGTCAAATTCAGCTGCAGCTTGGGTTTGTTTCTACAGTGTGCTCAACCTTATAAACAACTGCAACTTTTTAGCCATTAATAACAAACTGTATGTATTATATTATATTCATTGTAACTCCTTTATAACTCTGTTTGGTTCTAAGTTAACTATCAGAAAAAAAACTTGACAAACATCCACAGGGTGGATATGTATCAGTGATGTACAGAAACCTCAACTAGTTCTAACTCTAATTTCTGATTCTCTGTGTACTTTTTAACAAATCAGTGCATTTTCAGGTAGACAGGTCTCTCATCCTGTAACCAAAAAGAGAATCTGTTTTGTCTGCTCAGAAGACATACAGACCTCTCTGACTAAGATCACTAATCTCATTTGTGCATGCAGGAAATGTGACAAATGGCTGGAGTAGTTTATCACACAAATGTAACCATCAAGTCATAGAGGGAATGAGATATTAACCTCCATAAACAAACTCGTGTTCTATTTCTCAGCACAGCGGAAGTATACATTTAATGAGATAAGGATATGAAACACATGCTGCTGAGGAGAGAAAGAGCTTGCAGCAGCAGTACAGACATAGAAATGTCTCGACCTATCCCAGTAAAAGTAAACGCCATTTGAAAATTAATTTTGGGAGTGTTTTAAGAGATTTTGTCCGTGGTATGTACAGGAGACTCAAACTATGTGCCAGGTCACTGTTACTGCTGGTTTCGAGGCTCAAATTAAATCTAGGTGCAAGTGGAGTTCATCAGATGTAACTTCAATGAGACCAAAATTTCACAGCTATTTCAAGCATGCTCCTTATTTATGCACCTAATGTTCCATGGGAAGCCTGAAGTCAAGGAAGTTGGAATATCCAGCCCTCAGGAGTTAGTTATTCAGACACTTGCATTTACTTTTCTTCCTGCCTCTAGAGTCTGCACTTCATGGGCAAGGCATTTGCTGAGGTTTTTCACCAATGAGCCTGCTCTGACTGCCTGGACAGGCCTTGATGGCTCAGCTGCATGAGCCAAACCTTGGACTGAGATTTTTTCATGCAAGATTCCTACTGTAGGTTTTAAGTTCTCTCTTGGCAAACGCTCATTTCCTTAAAATGTGCATTTCCTACAAACGTTTCTGAAATCAAACATCTCTGCAAGGACAGCTGACGCAAGTGAACGGAGAAGAGTGCGGATTCAGAACGAGGTAATTAAAACTGAGCATGCACAAAATGGTTTGTGGTATTTAAACAGCTGCTGATGGAACCCAGTACAAGAACTTCACCGAGTAACGATACAGATCATCATTCCACAAGTCTTCCACAACACAAGCCGTCAGCACAGCTATCAGGAGGAACACCCAGCACAGCAGTGTCTCCACCGTGCCTCCTGCTACCACTGCTTTCACCATGTCTGGGGAACAGGGCCAGAGCCAAAACAGTGACTTAATGTTTCACAGACAGCTGTTTTCGTGAGAAAATGAGAACTGTTATAGATGCTATGGACAACTCCTGCTGTGGGGCCAGTTGTCTGGATCTGGTGGTTTGAACATCTCTGTGCCACCTGAGAGAATCAGCTTCCCATGGGAGTTTGGGCCAATGGAAGTGGCAGTCTCTGACTTTTGCTAAATCAATTTAGAGCAGTGTCAGAGTCTTGGGGGAAACAGTCAGCCTCAAGAGCTGGCTCGTGGTGGGGCAGAAGGCAGTTTAACAGGGAAAATGACAATCCATAAAGAAAAGCAACACCACTTCACACTACTCATGATCTCAAAATACTGCCCTGGCATGCAGAAAGCCCTTACCTCCCTTGAGAAGTTATGGGTTGGCAAAATAAGAGAACTTTGTCCCCACACATGCACAGAGAAGGAGCTGGTAATTTTCTCAAAATCATTTCTCAGAGAAACAAAAGTAAATTTCTGAATAGCCAGCAATGGAAGAAAACAGTCCTATGATTTATTGGCCTTGAGACTCTGAGAAGAATTCTTTGGCCTTTTTCCATTATGATTTTGCAACCTATGTTATAGCCACTGGGAAATTGTTTAGTTCCCAAACCAGGCCCTCAGTCATAAAATCTGTGAAGATGATTCATTATTATTTATGTGGTGCCATGGGCATGCATGGCATTTTACAGACAAATAGAAGATAAAGCATCTGCCTTTACAAGCCTAGGTGAATCTGATTCTCCAAATGTACGGAAAGCAGCACTTAATGGGTCCTGTAGCAAATATTCCTCATCCCTCAATGAATTAAGCAATGATACTCACCTGGGATACTGGAGGATACTTAGTAAACATGTAACTACTGTCTAAAAATTTGTGACATTATTTCATTAAAACTGTGAGGCTTTTCGAGTCATATGTTATTTTGTAATGGTTTTATGATGAAAATGTACTTAATCTTGTATTATGAATTTCTGATAATATGCACGATAGCATGGGACAGTGTTGCTATGAAACTAGACCATAAATTCTGCACTGCCTGGCAATTTTTTCTCTTTGTGCAAAGGGTAGAAGCTCAGCAAGTTCCATCATCCTAAACTTACAACATAAATTATTGAAAGTAAATAATTCTGGTGATTACAGTAAAAGAAATGTGTTCCAGGCCTCCACATCAACTTCCTGAAGTACATAAAATCCACCCTTGTTCCGGTTCTAGAGAGAATGAGCAGCTTTAGCACTTGGTAGGAAACAGTTTGGGACCACTCACCTAGAAGGCAAAACTTTATCAAGGTAGAGGTTGTGAAAGCAGCAATTACTGTCAATCAGTGCAGGCAGGAGTTGTTTGCTGAACTGAGACATCCACGTTCAGATTTGCATATACCTTCATCTAGAACCTTTGCACTCCACATGACTTGCTGTCTGAACAACCAGGGTATCATATCTCACCACCATACATTTGTTTTGAGAGTCAGATATAATGTGATTCCAGGAATTTTCATGTTGACTTTGCTAAGCCTCTCACACCCTCTCCTATTTCTGTATTACTCTACTCAGTGATGTCTGTGCCTGCCTTTTTGGACAGCTGAGCAGAAAATGTACCCAAAACAAACCAATTAACCCACCTCTATATGAAGAAATGTCATTATTGCACATACAAATAAGGTACATATGAACAGAAAAGGACAATTAAACATGTCTGGTACATTGCACACACAGGCAGACGTGTCCTGACCCTGAACACCACCCTCGAACATTGTGGCACTCCTGTGAAGGAAACATCAGCAACACCCTCCCCTGAAAACAAGCGAGCTTGTTTTGTAACTCAGAGGCTTGTAAATAAGAGAATATTGACTTTCTCGTTGGCCACAATGGTGAGGGCTGCAATTCTTTGTAAAATGGGAGTAATTGTGTATTTGATTCTTGTATTTAATACACAAATGAAAACGAGTATGGGGGAGAGAGGAGAGGAGGGAATAATCTCCTGCTGGTGTTGAAAACTCCCCACTCAGGACTTGTAATTCTCCAGAGGTGACTATCTAGCTGAAATACAGCATAAACTGACCAAAAAACTCCTCCCTATAAGTATAATATTAAATTAAGAAGTGCCCAGGCTCTTAATGCACTCCCACATGTCAGGGCTGTCCCCTGCCAGGTGCATGACAGCCCTGTGCTCTCACCCTGTTTCTGTTCTGCATTTCTTCCATGTCAGTGGCTGTGCAATAGGTAGTGTAAACCTCTGCAATCAACATCAACAGAAGTGAAAGAATTAGCTGTAAAATGACTTACGGAGTAGCCTCTTCCTGAAAGCGATTGAGCAGAACTCTGTGGGAGGAAACAATATGCCACAGTAAGTAATGCAAGAGATTCTGTGTAATGTAAGATAAGAATCATTTTGCGATTCCCTCCCCCAGCCCAGTATTCCTTAGGGGAAAACTCCACAACCTCAAATGATCTCCTGATACTCTGTGTGCTGCCACAGGAGTAACAGGCAGAGAGCACTTCCAGGTGAGGGCTCTGGGGCTATTTCAGGCAGGGTTTCATAAGCCAGAGCAGGGCTTCAACAGCTCCTCCTGAGCAAGGTAAAAGCTGTCAGCGTGGGACACGTCTTCACAGCAGCAGGACACACACTTTGAACCATCCCTCCTCAGGACGCGACGGCGCCTTCCTGGGAACAGCACGCACATGTAAGGATGCTCTCCAGAACCAGGCTTGCACATTTTGCCTCATCGACTCCAACTCTCCATCATGTAACCAAATATCCCACTTTCCATTCCCCTCCATGAATCTGTGAGCCTCCAGCCTTCACTGCTGCAGCATTACCATATGACAACTCTATCTGAAATAACAATAGCAGCAAAGCACTAATTTATCATCTCTCAGAGCTTTAATAAGCACTCTGTCCCTTTTGAATAAGTTAAATTACATTGTTTACTCCTGCTCTTCATTTCAGCTCCTCCTGCTCCTTTCTCTACCACATCCTTACCTCTTTCACATGCTGCCAAATCATTTGGTTCTTTTCCTTCTCATTACACCAGCTCCAGTCACTTGGATCCCTTTCCTCTCTCTACGACCAAAGACTGTCGAGCTGCTGGGTTTTTGCTGGCAGTGGCTTTCTCGAAGCAGCTAAATGAATTCCACCTCTAGCTCCAGCTGCTGCTATATGCCTTCTTTTCGGAAATTAAAAAGGAGCCAGGAACACACGACACCACATAACCCAGCAAGTACTCTGCAGGCCAATTTCCAAGTGTGATTTATAATCATGATGCCCTCACTACATGATTTTATTAAACAAGATCCAGGGAGTCTTAGCAGTCCTGTTTCTAAGACTGATGTTCTAGTGGGTACCAAAAATACCGAATTGTTGCAGGCTGATGGTGAGGATTATTTTGTCTTTTTGCAGCAGTGCCAGAAGTTATCACGTTACTAAATCAGCACAGCACAATACCCCAAAGAGATTGATGCAAACTGATTGCAAATACTTGTAATTTTTCACCAGCAAGATAACAGTCCCTTTGTAGTAGCAGTTTGAAAGCCTTTTGATCAGAGGATACATAGATGTACACAAGAAACCTTTTCCAGACTCCTGCTCTCAGTGGAAGACACAATTGTCTTGCTCTGCCCATGCAAGCTCTGTGCCACTGGCTTGCACCTGCCTCTGACACCAGACAGGCAATTCTCCAGCCAAGTGCCCCTGGAGAAAAGCTCCCAAAGCAAAGAAGAGACAAGAGCAAAGCCCTAGAATTATGTGGCTGTGGGAGGAGGGCTCCCTGTTAACCCTCTCACCAGCTGGCACAAGAACAAGGGTGCCAGACAGAAGGAAAGGTGTGACCCAGCTCTTACGCATAGGTCTGCAGCCAAGGAGTGACTGGGTGCCAGTCCCCAGCCCTGGCATGCTACACCTGCACCTCTGTCCTGTTGTAGCTCCAGAGCTGCTGGAAAGGGACAGCTTCCACAGGGGAGCCTGAGCAGCAACAACACTGGTAACAGCATCTGAATTCCCACCTTCTGCATACTGAACACAGATTTGGCCACTGCCTTCATACAAAAAAAAAGTTGGGATTTAATTATAAACCTCCTAAATATAAACTGCCGAACACACATTTGGCCACTGCCTTCATGCATTACAAAAAAAAAGTTGGGATTTAATTATAAACCTCCTAAATATAAACTGCCCAGAAATAAAGCTACAGACCAGTGAAATGAAGGGCAGTGGAATTTACCTCTATTTTTGAGAAATTATGTTAAACTTTACCCTCTCTCCACATACTCTATACCCCAAAGTACTCACGGAATTCAGCTTTGTATAGAACAAGGTTAATAACAATATCCTGCTATCTACATAAGTATGTCAAACAGCTGAACACAATTATGTGTTCTGACACTTTGGAGGGCTTGACCAGGCAGTTCACCTAAAGTAAACACAGGAATGATGAGGAGGCAAATTACCTGCTTGGAAAGGCGGGAGGAGGAAAGGAAAAAGGGTGGAAGTTCTCACTCCAGCCCTCCATCAACTGAGATTTAACCAAGAATGACAAGGTCTAACAAATTGGAAATAATAACCAAAAACAGAAACAAGAGGTTTCATTAGAAGCTTCTCTCTAGGGAAACAGCCTCAGAGCATTTTTACTCTCACAGTTATTTCCAATCTTTGAGCTCTGTGCACATACAAAATGTTTTCCTGGGGTGGAGCAGACTCTTGGACAACAAACTCAAGCACACTAACAACAGACCTGCTTTTCTTAAGACAACTTTCAGGCATCCCAAGCTGTCCAAGAACCCCAGGAATCTGCAGACCACTGATTTAAAACCACTGAGTAGAAAACAATAAAACCAGTTGTTGGGTAAAGTGTTACATCAGAAATAATGAAAACTGAATGGAAATTGACTCTGGTATTTTTCACATCCAAGAGTCTCTTCTCTCTTAAAAGTTTTAACATCAAATTTCCTGAAAAATCAGTGGTGAAAAAGGGTGGGGTTTTCCCCCTCCCTCAGAATTTTTCTTGCATATATAAAATTAGTTACTGGTGAATACTTTGGAGTCAACTCGTAAAATCTTTTCCAACAATTAGGTTTATGCACAACCATACCCCACACTCTCCAGGGCTGTTTGCATGCATTTTCCTGCACATCTAACAAACCACTATTGCTTTTTTGGTTAGCTGGGAACACTGCAGCTCTTTAGGCAAATCCATACCAATTGTCACATGTAGCAATTCTAAAAACAACCCAGCTAATATCAGCTACGAGTGCCAGAGCAGAACAGTTTGCATGCAACTGTGATGGATGGTCCTAAAGGAAAAAATCTTTGGGGGTTAATACAAACACGGCTCAGTCTGTATGTCTCTATATCAAGATCAAATAATGAGAAAAGTAATCAATTGTGGCTGCAAATATAAGAAATCTTAGTGGAAGTTTAACTTGGCATCTACCCAATGCTGAAGAAACTTCCTTTCCCAGTGAATGAGTGCTTGTCTGGCAGGAGTAATTACTGGAGCAAGCCTTCAGCTGGAACAACTTACCAAGGCTCTTACCTACAAGGACAGCAGCACTTACATGGAGGGCTGTCAGACAACTCTCACTCTCCAAAGAGGCTATTTGCTGGTTTGGTCAATTTTCTCCTTGTCACAAGGGCCTCAAGCAGCAGGGGACGATGGTGCCCGTGGTACCCAGCCAGCCACATTCCTGTTGGTGCTGCGGCCACCAGCACAACACCTGCCTGGGACCTCTGGCTCACCTGAGACTGAAACCCAAACCAGCTGCAACACAGGCACCCACAGCTCTGACCCTCAAACGCTGCCTGGACAAACCACAGCAGGCAGGAAAGGGGCTGACAAACACACAGTTCCAAGGCAGGACTGTGACCCCACCCAGGCAGCTCCCTGCAGCCCGACACTGAATCCCAGACCTCTGGCTCCAGCTGCACAGCAGCCCTGAGCACAGCCTCAGGGAGGGCAGCAGCCTCTCTGCCTGCTGAGCACCAGCTTTTGCCTCTTCTAGGGCTGTTTGGAATACCCAGCGTTTCTAGGGGAGACTGTTATTAGTTAGGGGCAAAATGAGTATGGTCTGTGCATGTATTTAATGATGCAGAAGTGGAGCTGCACTGCTAGGTGGCATTTGTGCATAAAGATAAATGGCTTATAATATTTTGCAGATGATGTGCTCTTTTACAACGAAAGATTTTTGGTTCCTTTTAAGCCCAAGGTTAAAAACAAAACCAGACAGCACAGACAAGACATTTCAGTTATGTCATAGAGTGAATTATTTCTACCCTGGGATAGCTCTCATGTTAATTACACTGGATATAAAATACACCTTTCTGGAAGCAAAGGCAAAATCTTACTGCTGAAAGACTCTACTACCCCCCCAGTGAGGTCCTTGAGAGCTTGAGTGACACTGCTACCTGCAACTATATTTAAAAGATTTCTTTCTTTCTTTGTGATAAAAATGGCAACTACAATTTAGAAAAGAAAATAATGAGAAAATCTCACCAATAACCTGCAGCAGGTTTTCCAAGATTGTCTATTAAATTGACAGAAAAAGTTATTTCCCTTATATAAATAAAAGCATGGCCTTCCACTATTCTCATGATGCAAAAGAAATTAAGACACCCTCTGTTTAGTTTCTTAAAGCTATTGGGTTACTTATTGAACTCAAAAGACAGCAGGAAGGGCTTTAAAGTCCAGTAATAATCAAGGTAAAAGGGCACCTCAAGCCAATTCCCCACTCTCAATGGGTCAGGCAGGTTTCAAGTTGGATCTTTTGTGTCCTTGATATAAAACCTAACTATAAGGGGATTAGTTAAAAGCAGGTGATGGCAGCACAACCACAAAACTAGGTCATTTGCAGTGCTCCCTTCCATCGTCTTTGGCTAAAGGACACAAATTAACATATTCCAGAAATGTCAAGAGTTCATTCCTGCTTTTATGACATGTGCCATTTCATTGGCTGAAACCAAGAGTGTATCAAGTACCTCCAAATCAGCTGTGGAAATGGCTGTTTTCAGCCAATAGCTATTCCCAGGTGGCACAGGACAGTCCCCAAAACCAGCCTCCAACCACTACTGTTAATGCCATCCTTGTGTGGTGTAGAAACTGAGGCAGGAAAGAGTCAAATGTGCCCAGTGGCACCTGAGGAGCCCCCAGCAGAGGAGGGAACTGAGGCAGAATTCCCAGCTCCGATTTAGTGTCAAATCTTGCCTTGCCAAATCACAGGCCCAAACTTATCACATCAGTGCTGCAAAAGCCTGATTTGCTTGGTTAGCACTCAGCAGAGGTAATCCATAGTATGTACAGAGAGATCTGATTTTGAATTCTGTTTTATAG